TCTCCAAAGTCCAGCAGCTGGTTTTCTCAGTGTTTACATGTTTATGGACTGTTGCTAAAAGAAGAGTGGACGCTACACCGTGGCAAACATGGCCCTGTCCCAACTTTTTTGTTTTAAGAGCTGTTGCTGCCATTAGATTCAAAATGAGCGAATGTTTTCTTTAAATGGTACATTGTGTTTTTATTTGCAATTTAAGCAGCAACATAACAATTTTCTAATTTGGGTTTGTAGTTGAATCCTAGAATCGAGTAGTCAGCTTTTTGGGTTTTTCAAACACTGGACTTCCATCAGTGCATGTTGTTTTTATGTAACAATGATGGTTATCATGTTATGGTTTTATGCTTTTGTTTTGAAGGGAATGACGCTGGACTGTGTGGAAATATCTTTGGCTCGTGTGTTTGAGAGTGGCCAGGCTTACGTGGCCCTGTCTCGGGCTCGGAGCCTCGAGGGTCTAAGGGTCATGGACTTTGACCCCCGCGTGGTCCGGGCAGACCCAGAAGTCCTCCTCTTCTACAGAAAACTGAGGAAGGAAAGGTTGCTCATGCAGGTGAGGGCAAATATTACCTCAGCCTGTAGAAAATGTTTATTCGTATCTCACATTTTCATTTTGTTTTTCAGTTTCTCATTTTCATTTTTATATAGTTTAATGTTAAGCTCTGCAGTTTCACTTCAATGTTAAGTTTATGTTAAGCAGAACCAAATGAGACCAAATCTCTCGGGAAATATTTTGGAAAGCTCCTTTTTCCCTAGAGTTGGTGAGATGGATCAAACTCCACTGGAGTGCTGTGGATGAAAAACTTCATTCACCAGCTGTACTTATGATCTTCTTTGTCCTCATTTTTCTCTGCAGGCCTCCATGGATGATTTTCTTAGCAACAATAAAGAAAATGCATGGTGAGGCTGGCTCTAAATCCACTCTAATGATATGCACTATGTGCATGAGCTATTTCACCATTTAACCTTATTTTCTTGAGACTTCAATCTCTACTTGGAGTCACACTGCCACCATCTGCTCATCACTATACTTTTTTTCAGAGGTTATTTTTTTAAATTATTTTTTTACATGTATTCAAATAAAATTTTAGCCAAATTATTTGTGTGAAGTTTTTTATCAGTCATTAATATTTAAGGGAGGAAAAACACTCAATGACGCTCCTTTGCTTTAGAGGTCTCGGGGAGAAAATAAAATCTATAGCTGCCTTTAGTCACCGAGTGGCAGCATCCACTCCTAACATTCTCCCACCCGTTTTGGGATGATGTAAGGGAATTAACAGTGTCTGTGTTAAAGCTGTGGGGAGAGAGAAAAATGCTCTGATCTAATTAACTTTACCTCAACTGCTTTTCAAAAATTGCAAACGTGGAACAAGTGTTCCAGTGCATGCACCATTAAATAGAAATGCCGTCAACCAGAGACCAATTTTGTGTCATCGTAAACATCAGTGAGACCATTTAGCGTTGGTGGCTGGATAAAACTAATTAAACCATCAGTCATGGAGCCCTCCCGAGAACACGGATGCTCTGAAAAGAAGCAGCTCAGACTACGTGGAATCCAAAGACAACCTTTATTTTCTGGTCAGCAGAGTGAAGTCATGACCAAACCTGAGCCGGTTTCCATTACTGTAGCAGCATATTTGCTCCAACATTCCACCTCATCACATTTTCATTACAGCCAATCCCTTCTTGACACAAATTTTTAAAGTGTATGCTCCAATATGTTATTAGTGACTCTTGATGTCGATACTGCTATCAGCTATATTAGTATGCACTGCATACAAACAGGTGTCAGGAACGTAGTCAAAGGGAATTCAGGAGAACAACAACAGGCTTCATTTGTAGATTATTTTACATTATCAGAAATTATATCGGGTCTACTGGACGGCTTGTCATTTCACATTGTGGAACAGCTTGTGTGCGACCTGTAGAGACAAAGTGGCACAATGAGCATCTTCACTAGGAGAATAATCTTTCCTTTGTCTAGCGCACACTTACACAATGGTCCCGCGCATGCAGGAAGTCAAAGAGTTCTTCTGTACACTCCTCATCAGTGTTGGACCTTGAACTGACCCGGGTTTCACAGAGCTCCAGACGCTCCTTGTAGTGCACACAGTGTTCAGTCTCCTCACACTTGGCTCTTATCGCTTCTAGAGGGTCCTAAAAAGAAAGGAAGCCATGCTAATCATCAGGAAAATGATGGCAAAAACTCTCAAACCATGAAGGTGATTTTATAATGAAGTTAGAGGTTTAATAAGCCAGGCTTTCTGTGTGCTCAAAATGGGGCGTTTTATTCAATTCAATTTTATTTATATAGCGCCAAATCACAACAACAGTTGCTTCAAGGCGCTTCATATTGTAAGGTAGACCTACAATAAATACATACAGAGAAAAACCCAACAATCATATGACCCCCTATGAGCAAGCACTTTAGCAACAGTGGGAAGGAAAAACTCCCTTTTAACAGGAAGAAACCTCCGGCAGAACTAGGGTCAGGGAGGGGCGGGGCCATCTGCTGCGACCGGTTGGGGTGAGAGAAGGAAGACAGGACAAAAGACATGCTGTGGAAGCATCATATTACTCAAAATGATCCCTACGAGTGCCCTTTGGAGTGCTGTTTATTATTTCTGTAGAAAAATGTTAATCAAGTGATTTACTCTACCGAGCAATAAAACAAACCTTTTAAGCTAATTATTTTAACACTTGGGTGCTCTCAGTGCTGCCGTTTATCTCTAACATCATGGCTGCGCTCAGAAATTTTAAACTGGATCCATTTAAACATTGAAGGTTACTGTCCCACAGCCTAATGTGGAAACTGCATTATTATTTTAGCAGACCAAAGTGAAATTAATTTGAATGATTGAACAGGTATTCTGTTGTCCGTTCTGTTTTCTAGTAGGTGCAATACTAGCAGTACAAAAGAGACTTAATAGCAGATTAAAACAAAATATAAAACATTTATACATGTTTTTCATCACCAAATGAATACACGCACATGAGTCAGTGAAAATACTTCCAACTGATTTTAACTCACAACTCTGAAGATCACCTCCAGACTAGGTTATATGTTTTCAGCGTAAGTTACCAGGTACACAGAGAGCTGATTTCCTAAAATATAAAACTCTGATGTTAAGCTTGAGATCCGTCACTAAGCCACTAAACTTACCTTGTTGTGCACCACTATGCTCATTCCTAGCTCTTCCAGTAAAGATTTTAAGACCTATACTATATCTAGTGATGTAAAAATCTGGTATTTTGATACATTTCTTTTCCTTTCAAACACAGAAAACAAACTGATTTCTCCAATATCCATTACTGGCATTTTGTTTTCTTTAATCAACTTATTTACACTGTTCAGATCAGCTGGTTATTGGGTTTGTTGTGCATCAAACAAGTTTTGCAAGCAGGGAAGCTGCAGAGTGCCCTCTGGCGGACAAAATATTCATCAACACTTATACCATAGAAGAAGGGTGTTTCTTTTGTTTGTCTTTTTTAAATATATAATTCGTTATATAGAAATGCTGATACCAATACACAGACACATAGGTAATATCGGCTGATAATACTGGCCCGCCGATAAATCAGTCAGACTTTAACCCATCCGGTATGAGGGTTTTTTCAACCTTTCGTCCTACATAAAAAGCTGTTTGTGACCGGAATATATGTTGTTATAATAAGTATTAATAAATAAACAATTACCACCAACTCTTCCTCCTCTTCTTCCTCCTCCTCCTCAGCAGGGGCATCTTCCTCCTATTCAGAGACATTTATATCAATGTTTTAAAATCCAGTTACAACCCAGCACAGCTTACAGATTTATAGGGCTTTTTTAAGTTTTGTGTACATTTTTATTAATTACGTTAAAGAATGTCCAGATATTGTAATCACCTAATAAAACTGTGCCAGTTAAAATAAGCAGTCTCTCAGGGTAACACCGTCAGCTGCCAGCCTCGTTTAATGGCGATAATTATATTAAAGGGTCTTAAAAGGAGCTGACAGTAAACTCGCAGGTTACACCGCTAAACTGAGCAGCAGATTTGGGTAACTTCGTCAAACACACACACAGACCAGTCTATAAAGACACAATACGATATTTTTCGGTACCTCATCGTCGGGGTCCCCGTGTGTGAGCATTTTTTTCTCGAAAACCATGGTTATGTCTGACAATTTTACAAAATAAAACTCAGAAAGCTGAAACTCCTCGGTTTCACTACTTCTGTTCGAGGACGCGAGGTCGGTCACACGCCGGAAACTACTAGAAGGATAACCGGATAACGTTTCCTATTGGTTGACTGAAATTATTGATGTCCATGTGAACCAATAACAGATCTCCATTTTGTATAAGGCCCTACCCCATTCAAATATTCAATGCGTGCGGAACCATTGTTTAACTGTCAGCGCAAAGTCGGACGAAAAAAAAGCAGGGGCACGGCAAGATGGCGCTGCTCTGGGACACCAGCCTGCTGTTAAGAAAAGTTAAAGATTTAAGATGTTTGACACCCAGACGACACCGAGTGAAAGAGAAATGGGTACGTGCTCAACATTAATAATGCCAGACAGTATTTGCATTTAGATCTCGTGTGGCTGCTAAACACAGTGAAAAAGAGAAAAAATGGTAAACTCTGTAACATATTGTATTATTTAAATAGTTTCGTTTGTTACTGTTACTGTCTTGGAGCAACTGTAACCCACATCATTTCCTTAGGGATTAATGAAGTATTCTCACTCTGATTCTGATATAAGGTAAAGACAGAGGTTGTACGGGTCTAAATACCTTGAAAGTTAATATTTGCCTTGACCACCTTTATTCTTCAGCACAGCAGGAACTCTCTTATTAGTGAGATTGAGATCCTAATCTTTATTCAAGCTTATTGTCATTTCTTTAAGTAATCTTCAGAAATAGTTATTCGGGCTTCTTGAAGGACATTCAGAGCTCATCTTTGGATGTTGGCTGCCTTTTGTTTTGTTATCTGTCAAGATGACCCCACACTGTTTCAGTAACGTCGAAATCCGGGCTCTGGGGAGGTCCAATCCATGACTGATAGTGTTTCACTTTGTGTTTTTGTATCCAGATTTACTTGTATTATCCTGTTGCCAGTCAGATACTTCCTAGATGTGTTGCAAAGTGGATTAAAATTTGACCATACATTTCTGTGTTTATAGTTTCATCCATTTTGACGAGATCCCCAACACGCAACATGACTTTCAGATACTGTTCATATTGTAGATAGTTTGGGGGTTTTAGCCCCTTTTTTTCTCGATTCGTCTGGTTTCTTTGGTCAAATCAGTCCAAAAATGATGTTTTTTGTCTATCAAACTGTTTTATCTTTGGCATTTTTTTACATTCATTTTACATTCAATTAAAGAAATTGGAAGAGATGATGTGTTTTGTGACCGCCTGGTAGTAACAAAGTGCCTAAAGATACAATTTAAAACTGGTTCTTTGTTAAGTTGTTTTTATGTATAGACACAACCCTGGTTCATCATCATTTGTTCTGCAATGATTCATAGGTCAGTGTTGTGTGGCTTTACAAAAAGAAAACTTGCCTCTGAAAATGGTCAGGTACATATATTTGTACACAGATGTACATTATAGGTCTACTCTAATTTTACATGTATTAAAGCCAGCTTTCCACTCTCCTGGGCATTTAAATTTTATATTGAAATTGGCACAAAGAGAGCATGGATAAAAATGAATTAACATTTATATCAAATGTCCTCCTCCTTTGCTCTCTGACAGGCTGCTACACATCCCAAGCTCCCACCCACCAGATTGGCCGTGCATCACTTTGACGCCACCTATAGCACTCAGCTGGGGCAGCTGTGGCCCTCAGTGCGACTTGCCATGCTGTCAGAGAGAAAATATGGAGCCCTGCTCAATAATTTCTCCCATAACGTTGCTCTGACAGAGCTTAAAGCTCAGGGATGCGTAGATTTCATCAGTGAAAGAGAGAAAGACGGTAAGTGCGCTAGCCTCAGTCACAGTTATGGTTATTGCTTATTACTGATGCAGGAAATGCTGTGCTGTGGCAATCTCTGATGCTCTGAAGAGTTCAGAAAATTTTATGAAGCTAGCGCTGGAGTGTGAATGATTTGATTTAAATTCATTCAATAGACTATTTACTAAAACATTTCACTGGGAAAAGTCAATATCTTAGTAATTAACACTATTAAAAACTCACTTATATCATCTATTGACTGGCATATAATTTGCAGTTCCTTCTTGCTTGGAGGAAAAATCAGAGGAACCTAGTGATGTTTCCATGAAGAGCTCTGACGCTGATGGTGAGCAGCTATCTCTAAGCCCAAACATCAAGTGTTTAGTGTTTCCGAGAGGCGACGTGACACGATTCAAGCCTGCAAGGTGAGCAATATTTCCTATCCTGCTACTAACAACAGCATCTTCTAGCAGCGTGCAGTCTGATCCTCAGTTCTCTTTTCTCCTCTTCAGGCCAGACAAGAACGGCCTGTTGGGTTACTACCTGATGGACGCAGCGTCTCTGCTGCCCTGTCTTGCACTGGATGTTCAAGAAGGTCACAGCGTGCTTGACCTCTGTGGTGCTCCAGGAGGCAAGACCCTGGCTTTGCTTCAGACCCAGGCCATCAGTAAGTCAAAGTACTTTTACCCTTTTTCAGTTTGTTTTTTGAATCGCCGGGCCAAAAGTCTTTATCACCTATGCTCTATTTGCTGTTCTGCTGTTAACCGTCCACCTGTTTGTTTACCTCAAAGGGTTTTTGTGCATAAATGACAGCTCAGTGTCTCGAACACTACGACTGAGGAAGGTCCTCCACAGCTATGTTCCTAAGCATTTTTTGACAAATGAGAACCTGCGCATCACCTCTTTCGATGGCACCAAATGGGGGGAAATTGAAAGCAACACTTTTGACAGAGTAAGCCAGTGCCACATTGTCACAGTCATCCTTTTCACATGTTTTGCTCTTTGTCGTTATGTTTTTATTCAAAAACTTTGTTTTGTTCAGCCTTTCCTTTTTTCCCCCTCTAAATTCAGGTCCTTGTTGACGTTCCCTGCACCACAGACAGACATTCACTCATGGAGGACGACAACAACATATTCAGTAAGAATCGGACTGGGGAGAGACGCAGGCTCCCGCAGCTACAGCTGGAGCTGCTGCTGTAAGTTTGGAGGAAATGTGAACAAAATGGGCTTTGAGGCTGTTAAAGTTTGCATGGTTTCATATAAATATGTGCACAATTAAGCAAAATAACAGCTGGTAGTGAGAACTTTTATTTAGATGTTATGTAAATCGAACCCTCTGTGTTTCCTGCAGAGCGGGAATCCAGGCCGCTTGTCCTGGTGGGGAGATCCTCTACTCCACCTGCACGCTCTCACAGAACCAGAACCTCAGTGTGGTTGAACAGGCTATCTACCAAGCTCGAGAGAAAGATGGCATCCATCTACAGGTTAGTGAGAGACTTTTTTTGTATTAATAAGAAACACGTCAAAGTTGTGGGAGATATAAAACGCACAGAAACTGAAATCAGACCTCAAATAACTGCCCATTTTTCTTTTATTTCCTCAAATCTCGATCACATTCAGGTTGTGGATCTGAAGCCGCTGATGCGCATGTTCGGGAACACCTTTCACTTCGCTCCGGACCTCCACCTGGGCGAGATGGTCATCCCGCACCTAGTAGCTAACTTTGGACCCATTTACATGTGCAAGCTAAAGAGGCTGACGTAGGACGTGGACTCTTGCACAAGTTCGCCTGAGACTTTCAAATACTGAGCAACTCTGCTGCCAGATTTGGAGTCAGCTGGATTTGCAAACTGCTTCTGGTGGACCCGGGCTTTCATCATAACTGTTTTCCGGAGCTTTTTGAAGCCTTCTAAGCCAACCATGACTCTCAGAGACGTTTCTCCTTTTTCCTCTGTTTTCTCAGTCCTATATGATTACTAAGCCTTAACACTGGGTCACCCTTGCAGGCTACACAGCACATGTAAATAATATCAGTTTTAGATTGTGCAGGTAAAGCATGAGACAAACAGGAAAGAGATTTTTCCTCAGTGCAGAATTGGATCAGTGAATTCACCAGACACGAGGACAGGTGACTCTGAGTGCACAATATCCCATCCAAATCCTAACACTTTTTTTTTTGCAGCTTTCTAGTAGGGTCCTTATGCTTTAAAACTAGCTGCACGAGCTGATGAATGACCTCTTTTTAGTTTCAAAGGGACGTGAGGAGTACTTCCTAAAGTCTGGCCTGCACTGACCCGTCCCTTCAGTGTCCTCATCATTCATGCTGGTCATCATGATTGATGCGGAAGCACTAAACTGCTGTTAAACGAATAATTAAACTGAACTTATTGACGATGTGGATGTTTAGGTTTTTATCAGTAAACCATTCAAATTAATGTAAGTTAAATTTACATTATCACTAGAAATCACCCGAGGGCACACTGTGCACCAGAGTGTTCTTTGCACTGATCTTTTCTACTGTGACATATTAAAGAGATGTGACACACAACCAGGATATGCATATGGCCGTGTGAGAAGAAGTCAAATAGTCATTCAATAAGTTGTTAGTCAGCACTGTACATTTGTACGTTCTTATCACATTTTGAGTGTGATTAAATGTTAATATTTAAGTGGTGCTCGTAAGTTACAGGCGATAGCTACAAGAAAACAGTGGACACAGGATTAAGATTACAATTAGGAAGGATGTGTCATTTTCTTTAAAGGTCTCCTCCACTCATATGTAGCTATTTATGAGTTGCTGTTTAATTTTTGCCCTCTAGGTGTCAACAGTAGATCAAGATTACAAGTGTCCTGTATCTTCCTTGTCCACTAGAGGACACTGAGCGTTTATATGTGGAAATGCTACTGTAATTCCACTATGGGTGTTTGTCTTGCTGTACTTTGTCAGCTGCACAGGGATGATGTTTGTGGTTTGGGGGAAAAAACACAAATTTCCATCAGAATTACCTGCTCTCTTTAGCTCGGCAATGAAAATGGGCTTGTCTTGTTCTTTGCTTATTCATCAGGTTTGATGGCTTTGCCTAATAATGCGATATATGGCTGTGTGAGAGGAGGGCGTAATGAAAAGGCAGGTAATGACTTCTTTGACCATTTGGCTTCTCACATCTGAATCTGCGCAGCTTTCATTACTATAGCTGGATTGAGTCCGTTTTTGCATCGGCATCACTCAGAGGTGAAATGGTTCCTCTTATCACAGCCTAATGTGAGCGCAGAGGTGCCTCTTTTTCTTTTTTTTCCATCACACCGCCGATGACCCTTTATGTTG